GGAGCGTCCCCCGGGGCCCCGCCAGCCTGGTCCCGGGAAGAGGGGGAGGGGTGGGGGCCATCGGGTGGGTGGCTTGATCCGTGCCAGGTTCAGGGTCTGCTGGCTGGGTGCTGGCAGGCTTGCACCTGGCACGGGTACCGTAGCCAGCCCATGGCCCTTTAAGGGGTCTGGGGTCGGGAGAGGGGCAATAGAGTTTCCCTGGTGTTGGCCAGAGTGGCCACCAGGGAAAGCTGGGAAGGGCTAGCCTCCCACTAGTTGGAATTAAGGGGCTACACAGCCTTTAATTCGAACTAGTAAGTTCGAACTAGGCTTAGTCCTCGTAGAATGAGGTTTACCTAGTTCGAACTAAGCACTCCGCTAGTTCGAATTAAGTTCAAACTAGCGGAGCGCTCGTGTAGCGCCTATCAAAGTTAATTCGAACTAACGTCTGTTAGTTCGAATTAACTTTGTAGTGTAGACATACCCATATAGACTAACAAATACATGAGCAATTAGAAAATTAATTGTGACTAATCACACTGTTAAACAATAGAATACAATTTTATTTACATATTTTTGGATGTTTTTGACATTACAAAAGTGTACAGTGCTCATTTTCATGTATTTGTATCATATATATAGTAGCCCAGTGTCTGTGAGTCTGTAACGCTGAAATGCTGGCTGTTCCCTCTGGGTGGCCTGTGCTGCATGGGGAGTGCGGGGCCCAGATGGCCACTTGCTCCCCCGTGGCAGCCCAGCTGAGCGGCGCAGAAGTCAGCCGAGTGCCATGGCAGAAGGGGAAGGAGGGCGGGGTGGTGACTTACATGGCCAGGGGGTGGGGCCTGGCCATGTACATCACTGCCCCGCCCCCCTTCACCTCCCGCTGTGCCGCTCAGCCAGGAAGCCATGGGGGAGCCCAAATGGATGCTTGCTCCCCCACGGTGGCCCGGATAAGCAGCGCAGAAGTCAGCAGAGCACCATGGCGGGAGGCGAAGGGGGGCAGGGCCGTGACCATTTGGGCCATTTGGGCTCTGCGGTCCCCCAAGTGAGGAGAAGAGAAAGAGAGAGACAGAGAGAGGCAAAGGTGAAGGAGAGCTGAGAGAGAGGGTGGGGGGAGGCAGGAAGAAGAGGAGGAGGAGGAGGAGGAGAGACGGAGCGAGAGACTGGAGGCTCAGGAGAGAAGACCGACGTGGAGGAGAGATCTGAAAATCCCGTCTTATGACGGGCTAATTGTCTAGTTAAAAATATTTGCATTCCAAAAATAAAAAAACATTTTTTGAATTCACCTCATACAAGTACTGTAGTGCAATCTCTTTATTGTGAAAGCTGAAATTACAAATGTAGAATTATGTACAAAAATAACTGCATTCAAAAATAAAACAATGTAAAACTTTGGCACCTACAAGTACACTCAGTCCTATTTCTTTTTCAGCCAATCCCTCAGTCAAATGACTTTGGTTATAATACTGCCCACTTCTTGTTCAGAAAATCACCTGAAAGTGTCAACTGATGTTCATGTGGCACTGTTGCAGCTGGTGTTGCAAGATATTTAGGCACTGTTGCCTCAGACCAGCCTCTATCCATGGGACCCCCATGGACAGGGGCTGGTGCCACCCTGCACTGCTGCTCTCTATCAGTTGAATATTTGCATTCCAAAAATAAAAAAACATTTTTTGAATTCACCTCATACAAGTACTGTAGTGCAATCTCTTTATTGTGAAAGCTGAAATTACAAATGTAGAATTATGTACAAAAATAACTGCATTCAAAAATAAAACAATGTAAAACTTTGGCACCTACAAGTACACTCAGTCCTATTTCTTTTTCAGCCAATCCCTCAGTCAAATGACTTTGGTTATAATACTGCCCACTTCTTGTTCAGAAAATCACCTGAAAGTGTCAACTGATGTTCATGTGGCACTGTTGCAGCTGGTGTTGCAAGATATTTAGGCACTGTTGCCTCAGACCAGCCTCTATCCATGGGACCCCCATGGACAGGGGCTGGTGCCACCCTGCACTGCTGCTCTCTATCAGTTGTGGCAGGGGTGGCCAG